CGATCAGCAGGTATGATGAGACATCTCACGTGGTTGACTGGAACTGTGATATTGGCACAGCCTATAGCTGCCCAGATACTGTTATTAATTTAAATGACTAAAGTAATTAGTTTAAAACGCAAATTGGATTACTAATTTTCGACAGCAAGCTACGGTAGCTCAAGTAAAGTCTAGAAATTGACTCGACTCGACTTAAATCAGTGACTCGACTTGACTCGAGTGAAGCCGCTGACTCGACTCGACTCGACTCGAGTGAAGCCACTGACTCGACTCGACTCGACTCGACTCGACTCGATCAAAAACTGAAATGACTCGACTCGACTCGTGACTCGACCTTTGAGTGACTCGACTCGACTCGTGACTCGACCTGTAGGTGACTCGTTACAACACTGGTTATATGTCATGCAAATTAGAATAAATCTAAATAACCTAAATTGTCTATTGTCCTAAATTGAATATAAACCAACTAATGTCAAAAACACTATTAATTAACGACCTATTAATGACATTGACAGCTCTGCATATGTCATTACAAAAAAAACAGGGACGCTGGAGAGGGGGTGCAGGGCAGGGCATTGCCTTTCCCCAGGGGGGGAAGGCAAAGGTGCCCTTTTTGGTATTCGAGAAATATTCGAGTATTTAAAAAAATCATTACATGTTCGCTTCATAAGGCGAAAATTACAAATTATGAACCCATTAAAAAGGGACCTACCTCAAAAATCTGTGCTCCCCCCCCCCCACACACATACATCGTTCCACCGTCCCTGCAAAAAAACTGATATTGTTTATTCAATTTTCAGCGGCATTATCTCTTTGCCTATTTCTACCAAAAATTGCGAGGATTAACTGAGCTGCTGAACATTGACTATCTCACGAGAGAAACAAACCTTAATGCATTTCACACGAGCCCGAGATGCAGCTTTGTGCAATGGTGTATGACCCTGCTTGTTCACCGCGTTCACGCTGGCACCATGGTTAAGCAACAGTTGTAAGCTATCAACATGACCTTGAGATGCAGTGTCGTGCAATGGTGTATCACCCATGTTGTCCACCGCGTTCACACTGGCACCATGGTTGAGCAACATTTGTAAAATATCAACATGACCGCGAGATGCAGCGTCGTGCAATGGTGTATCACCCATGATCTCCACCGCGTTCACACTGGCACCATGGTTAAGCAACAGTTGTAAGATATCAACATGACCTTCACGTGCAGCGTAGTGCAATGGTGTATCACCACCACTTTCCACCGCGTTCACACTGGCACCATGGTTAAGCAACAGTTGTAAGATATCAACATGACCTTCATCTGCAGCTTCGTGCAATGGTGTATGACCAACATTGTTCACCGCGTTCACACTGGCACCATGGTTAAGCAACATTTGTAAGATATCAACATGACTTTTAAATGCAGCTTCGTACAATGGTGTATCACCATCATTGTTCACCGCGTTCACACTGCCACCATGGTTAAGCAACAGTTGTAAGATATCAACATGACCGCGAGATGCAGCTTCGTACAATGGTGTATCACCACCCTTGTTCACCGCGTTCACACTGGCACCATGGTTAAGCAACATTTGTAAGATATCAACATGACCGTGATATGCAGCTTGCTGCAATGGAGTATTACCAACATTGTCCACCGCGTTCACACTGGCACCATGGTTAAGCAACAGTTGTAAGATATCAACATGACCTTCACATGCAGCTTTGTGCAATGGTGTATCACCATCATTGTCCACCGCGTTCACACTGGCACCATGGTTAAGCAACAGTTGTAAGATATCAACATGACCGTGATATGCAGCGTCGTGCAATGGAGTGTTGCCCAAGAGACCGCCACGTTGATTCAACCTGTTGATGATATCCGAGTCTTTTTGCAAGATCTCTTGTACTTTGCGAAGATCCCCTTTTTTAAAAGCATCGTGCAGACTTTCATCTTGTAGTGTTGACATTCCTTGGTTCAATGGTAAGATTTAAAGAAGCATCCTGTGAAAAGTTCCTAAAGAAACAGAGCTAGTAATAAGTAAGGATGTGTCGGAAGCAGATACCGGTATCCCGCAAAATATAGGCATCCGTCACCATATAGTAAAATAGACTTTTATCACAGCCCCAGACATCTGTTATAAAATTAATGCACTTTGAATAAATTAGTTCATTTTTATAATTTGTTTAAAATAATAAAAATAGGTATGCCGTGCGTACATGTTGCATGCCTCAGAAACTTAAGGCCGCGGATTTCCATTCAGTGCAAAATATCGCGAGATCAACTGTTTGCGATCACTTTCTTTTGAAATGCGTTCAGTCAACCTGATCCGTTGCGTGTGATTGCTTGTATTTCAAAAGAAAGTGATCACAAAATATCGATCGCACGACATTTTGCACTGAACGGAAATCTGCCTTTATGGTGCGTAACATAGATATCTTATATACACTAGATAGCGCATCTCATTTAGTAAAATTGAAGCCAGGAATATTCCAGCGGTTACCCCCTTTTGAATAGATGGCGGCCATGTTGGTCGTTCCCACTTGCTAATAATCGCCTAATCTAGAGGTTTTTCAAAGTTGCATAACATTATCAAATATCTCAACTTCAGAGTACGAAGTTAAAAAAATGTTGCAAAATGTTGATACTTCGAAAGCTTGTGGTGCCGATGGTGTTGGAAATGCATTGCTTAAGGCAAGCGCTAATAATATTGCATGTTCTTTTTCTCGATTTATTAATCAATCACTTTCTGTGGGTGTTTTCCCTTTGAAGTGGAAATTGGCAAATGTTGTACCTATTTTTAAAAAAGACGATCGTCAATCAAAAGAGAACTATCGTCCTATTTCATTGCTGCCATCATTATCTAAAATTTGTGAAAAAATTGTTTTCGTCAGACTTTATAATTTTTTACTCGAAATAAATTTTCTAAACCCGTTTCAGTCTGGATTTCGTCCTGGTGATTCTACTGTTAATCAACTTATTTTCATAGTTCATAAAATTCATGAGGCTTTAGAGCTTGGTAAAGAAGTGAGAATGGTTTTCCTGGATATTAGTAAAGCTTTTGATAAGGTCTGGCACAAAGGACTCCTCTTCAAGCTTGAGCGCTTAGGAGTGAGAGATCCTCTTCTCAAATGGATTAAAAGTTACTTAACGGAGAGAAAACAGTGTGTCTTAATAGACGGTCAGTCATCTGACTGGAAAGAAATTGATTCGGGTGTCCCTCAGGGCTCTGTTTTGGGTCCTTTGTTGTTTTTGATTTATATTAACAACATAACTCGCGACCTCCGAAGTAATAATTTTTTATATGCTGACGATACTTCTCTTTTGGAAATAGTAGATGATCCCTGTCTTACAGCTGATCGATTAAACCATGATCTCGAATGCATTAAAGCATGGACCAAAGATTGGCTTGTTACTATCAATCCAGACAAGACCAAATCAATGATATTCTCTGTCAAACGAATTAGGCCAAATCATCCTCCCCTATTTTTTAATAATAATGAAATTCAAGAAGTTTTTAATCATAAACACCTAGGAGTAACACTTTCATCCAATTTAACTTGGACAGCGCATATTATTAATATACACGAGAAAGCTTCCAAAAGGGTGAATCTTCTTAAAGGTTTAAAGTTTAAGTTAAATCGGAAAACCTTGTCAAACTTGTACAAATGTGTTATTAGACCATTGTTAGAATATGCCGATGTATTATGGGATGGGTGTTCTGACAATGAAAGTGATTTAATTGAGCATGTACAATATCAGTCAGCCATGGTGGTCACGGGTGCTATGAGGGGTACTAGTAGGTCAAGAGTATTGGAAGATCTGGCTTGGGAAGATATGAAAACTAGACGCCAGATTCACAAACTTATTTTATATTTTAAAATAGTAAATAATCATGTTCCAGAATACTTGTCAAAATTATTGCCCCAGACGGTTGAACAAAGGTCTGGTTTATCATTAAGGCAGTCATCTAATATTTCTTTGTTTTTTGCTAGAACTGAAAGATTTAAAAAATCCTTTTTTTCCTTCGGCTACTATGTTATGGAATTCGGTTGAGTACTCAGTTCGTAGCTTGCCATCTATTAATTTATTCAAAAAAGCTATTCTTAAATTTTTTGATATTTCATGTGACCGCAATCATAGCTATTTTGATCATTCCATTGATAGATATACTTCAGTATTGCATGCACGTTTGCGTTTAAACTGTTGTGCGTTGAACTACTATCTATTTAGAATAAATCGTACTTTAACACCCGACTGTATTTGTGGTGCTGGCTGCGAAACAGTAGCTCATTACCTGTTAAAATGCCCATGCTGCTCTAAGATCAATCTTGCTCTCGGCTGCTGCACAAGTTTATGGTGATAGCTGGTGCCGTTTGTCTGACATGAAAAAAGTGAATATACTTATGTTTGGTTCATCTAACTTAGAACTCAAAGACAATACTGTGATATTTGAGTATGTTCAACAATATATTAGGGAATCTAAACGTTTTCTTTAATTTCGTCAAAGCTATCATCTTTCGTTGTTTAATTAATTTATTATGTGTGTTTCTATATATCTGTCTTGAACTTTGTAAAATCAATGTAAATGTAACTATATGTCTGTCTAGTCTAATGTAATAGTAAATGTAACGTAAGCCCCTAGATGAGCCTAGTGCTCTTGGGCAAACGTTAATAATATATATGTTTAAATAATAATCGCTTAAAAATAACAATAACTTTCATTATTTGAATAGTTTAAAAACGTGTTTGGAATAGGGTTAACTTAAAGTTTAAGTTCCCTGTTTAAGAAATAGAAAACATACGAATCTTCTCATTACAAGGGAACGATCTGAGACTGCAATCACGGCTTTAATTTTTGAATTGCAGAATAATTAGATGCACTATCTAGTGTATATAAGATATCTGTGGTGCGTAAGCGCTTATAAATTTTGATACAACTGGCCTGAAACTTAAAATATTGATTCAATAAGTTTAATATCAATATATTTATTGAAAAATAGCTATTATGTCAAAATAACAAAACTTAAGATTCTCACACGAATAAGCAATGTTCTTTATGAGCGACTGTTCATCTGTAGTTGCAAGGGACGGTAATAACAAAGTCAACTGGTCAATGTTTTATCACTTATTGACTATTTGAAATAAACAATGTTATTTCCTACAAATTTAAACAAATTTAGATTTATTGTGGCTTTTTGAAGGTATAAAAACCCGTGGAAACGTTGAATTGAAAATAATTATTAAACTATGATCTCGAGTAGAATATGCTATTTCGTTGTATAAAATTTCAATAATATTACTATTAATGAGAATTTTGTTTGATTTTTTAATATATTTCAATTTCATGTTATTTGCAGTATGTACTGTAGTTTTGACGTTTTGCACACAATATATAATCAGTGCGAGCACAATGGCTTTGTTTCAATTTGAGCATATAAAAAATGAGTATTTTGATAGCGTGTCCTTTCACGATATATAAATTTTAAAAACTCAATAATAATTCATGAAGAAAAGACAAAGAAAATCACTGCCGTGTTGGTGGTTTTATATGTGATAAAAAATCATGTTCATTTACATAAACTTTAGCTTTGATTTTCTCGGCTTAGACAATGTTGATTCTTAAAATTACTTCGCCAATGAACTCATAAGATGGGTCGTCTTTTAAGCAGTGTTGTAACGAGTCACCTACAGGTCGAGTCATGAGTCGAGTCACTCAAAGGTCGAGTCACGAGTCGAGTCATTTCAGTTTTTGATCGAGTCGAGTCAGTGGCTTCACTCGAGTCGAGTCGAGTCAGCGGCTTCACTCGAGTCAAGTCGAGTCACTGATTTAAGTCGAGTCGAGTCAATTTCTAGATTTGACTTGAGCCACCCTAGCTTGCAGTCGGAAATTAGTAATCAAATTTGCGTTTTAAACTACAGATTACTTTAGTCATTTAATAATAGTATCTGTGCAGCTATAGCACAGTTCTAGTCAATATTCAGTACAACCACATGAGATGTCTCATCTTGCCTGCTGATCGAGTGTACGTACATACAACTAGCAAAATTTGCAACTGGAGTCAGAATTAACAAAGAATAGACTTTAATTATTTGCGCTTTGTAAGTTAATTTGAAATTATATAGCCCTTCATAAATACCAAAAATGAAAATAGCCTGTCAGAATTAGTACAAGTAAAAAAAATTTTGAGACTCATTTTTAAAAACTGTGGCGTTGTTTCTAAAAACAGAAATGTAATATAGGTATGCCCGTCAGGAATATATTCTATGCAAATCCCATATATTTTCTGATAAAGTTTCAAAGTTCTCATTGTTTACAGGGCTCATTGTTCTTCCCAAGCAATACAACTCACAATAATTGTGATGAATTTACTCTGTACAAGTTGTAGCTGAGTTGACTCGAGACATTTACGGCAAAATCAGCAAGTCGAGTCCGAGTCGAGTCATTTGGGGCTGTTGACTCGAGTCGAGTCATTTTTCGTATTGGACTCGAGTAGAGTCGAGTCGCTGAAAATAGCGACTCGAGTTGACTCGAGTCAGAGTCAATGACTCGACTCGTCACAACACTGCTTTTAAGCCATTTAAAACACTCGCAGTTCGTGCTTTATCAGGTATAAAACACTCGACGAGCTGCGTTCTCGTGTTTTATATCAGATAAAGCACGAACTGTGAGTGTTTTAAATGGTACATAAACGCCTGATAATTGATAAATAATTTTCGGCGAAAAATCAATATTTTCGAAAGCGTGCATAAGTGATTCACATCACATGAAAATGCTCATGGGAAAAACTCGGTATTTGTCGTATTTTACGAATCTGTCACTTGATTTACCACCGCCGGTACACCGGAACACCGCAACACGAAATTTAAAGCTATATGAAAGTTGCATGCCCATATATCATGGAGAGTTTTAAGGGGCTGTTTATATGGTCCTGCTTACCCGGGATTCAATGAAGTGTGACGTATTTTGAGCAATTGAAATAAGTCGCAGTTAATGATCTAACAAAATTGCTTATTACAAATTGTATGAAATTCTATGTTTTAGACAAAAAACAAATGTTGTTGAATGGTATTTTAAAATCGTCTTCTTCCACTACAAAACTTCTAGCGCGTTCCTAATTTCGTTTAAACAATATTTAAAAAGTTATCTAACTTTTGTTTAGGGCTGAAACACGTATTTCAATTGCTCAAAATATGTCGCACTTCATTGTATCCCGGGTAAGCGGGACCATATAAACAGCCCCTTAGCCAGGCCTGAGTTTCAGCCTGGTTTCCTGGGCTGACATTTCAGGCCGGCCTAAAGATAAAATCTTATTAAAACATAGCAAGCGATTACATGACAAAAATATCAGCTCAGGATGAGTTTTAGCAGAGGCTGAAAATCGTCATGTAATCAACTGGAAATTTCTCAGCCCTGGTTTAAAAAACATCCTTTTATGAGTAACTTTATTTTTGTCTGTACTATTTCTAATGCAATCACAGTTTCGCACAAGTCAAATAGACATACTGTAAATAATCGATTAAGCGCCTCAGCACTTATTTAGATTCTTCCAGTTAAAGATTTGGCATTTATTCAAGAGCAGCACTTAATTGAGAGCGCCACTCATTTCAAAACATGTATTGAATATATAGTGAATAAAAGAAGCACATACTAGATATGCTGATATAGTCAATTTATTAAATAAAATGAAGGAATACGGTGCAAATTTGAAAGCGGGACATAATTTAAAATATTTTCGGTGAAGGTGCAGCACTTACCCAAGAGCGGCGCTTATTTGGTGAGCGGCATTTAATCAATCAATTACAGTAAACTAAACAACACTTTAAATTCTTCACAGAAGAAAAATAGCTCTATTTTGAGACTTGATTGTTCAGCCTGGGCATAGCCAGATTTTGAGGGGAGGTGTGTGTGTGGGGGGGTGCACCTCCCCTGAAAAGCCATGCACCTCCTCTTGGGAATGTTTCAATGATCGATCAAAGTGAAAATTTGACATTTGTGGTTGCTTTGGGTCTACACTTTGAAAGAAAGTTTTTCTGTAAAATTGAAACAGTGATAGCCATTCATCTCTGTCTCAAATATCATTTTAATGCAATATTTAAAAAAAAACTTTGTCCGACACAGACATGATATAACAATATTGTTACAACCTTGTGTCTTCAATCTTGTAACATTCTTGTTATATCATGATTGTATCAGACTTGTTAGAAACTTAGAACAACTTTATTACAAGTCTGATAATGCCATCAAGCTTGTTACAACAACTGGGAACAAGCAGTGCGAACACAACTTGTTGACAGCTTGTGAACAGATTTGTAACAACTTGTTTGCAGAGAAAATCAAAGTTAAAGTCAATCTGCTTGAGACACATCTACATAAGAAAAAAAATTTTCTCATTATGTAAACACATCTCAAGGGGATTGAATCACCCCAAATCAACCCAGAAAAGTCAATTACACATTGTAGTAGTGGTAAGAGACCTTATTTCTCAATTTAATACAGTATTTTAGCATTTTTTGATAATACATATTCTGGCATACTGAAGCTAATATAAAAATACGAATATATCCCGACCGCATGAAAGCTTGGGATGCTGTGGTCTAAAAGTTCATTGTTGTGCAAGTATCTGGTCGTTTCGTCTCCTTGCCGTTTCTTTCAAGCTTGTTTCGTCTCCTTTATATTTCGTCCCCACACTAGATACTGTTTTCTCTATAAACTACTTTATCTTACATTTTCATGAACTATATACATAAGATATATTTATTTTCGTGTCTACTTTTATGAGATTGTATCTCAGTGGTTGTATGCTGGATATAATACACATTTTTGTATTTAAATTCTGAAACTTTGAAATGTAACTCAAATATTTGGCTTTTATTTCACAATAACACTGTTGTTAGTGACTATTATAGTGACACTTCACTTTAGTTTATTTTAACAGGAACTGAGGGAAACTAGACCAATGACTGCGAATGGCAATGATCGGTTTAGACATCAGACCGGAACGAAGTCGAACAGGGACCGTTTCGTTTCGGTCATATAGTATTATTTATAGTAGTGGCATGATGACAAAATCATGAATGATCAAAGTAGAAACAAATATAAATATATCTTATGTATATATAGTTCATAAAAAGTAAGATAAAGTAGTTTACAGATAAAACGGTATCAGTGTAACGGGATGCCAGACTGCAGAGTACGGCAAGTGCACACCCGAGATTTTTTTTGGCCAATGGTATTGCACACTTAAACATATTTCAAATATTTTCCAGTTTTGTCAGGCATTAAAATAAGGACTTCTAAGACAAGTGTAATATAACAACCACCTGAAAATCGGGAACGCTGATTGATGGGCACAAATGAAAAATGTCCATTAAAGTTTTGAATTTCTATCTACAGCAGAGTTTTGCGATCATCAGGTTGTTATGATTAAACAAAACCGTATAGCATGTAAGCATGGGCACAAGAGAACTTTTAATTGGTCCGATTTTCTCGAGGCGCCACCATGGTTGGCGCCGAGCGGAAAATTTTTGAAATTTGGAGTCCCTACATTGTCGGAAATGGCATTTTCGAGTGCACACTTTTCCATTTACAACTCAATTACAAGGACATGCACATTTTCCTTTTACAGGACACAAAGTGTGTCAAAAACACGTTATTTTGTACGTGTTCATAATGACTTTTAACTCCGATCGAAATATATATTCTTGTTTGTTCTTCAGAATTTGGACCACGTTTTGTTTTCCTGAGAGGCAGAAATTTTAGTTATTTGTACAAATAAACAATCATTGTTTAATATCATTAAAACATGTAGCTATTTACAAGTGCACACTTGACTACGTTAACTGAGGATTGCACACTTGCACACCTGAATTTTTGTCTTGCACACCCGAGATCTCGTCGAAAACTGCCATACTCTGCAGTCTGGACGGGATGAAACGACCATAAAACGTTGTGCGATCAATCGAAAAAGTTACCCTCATTCGGCACTATTTGGAAGGTTTTAACTGGACGATTTGAAAGAACAGACTCTAGTGGACTTTATAACATAATAAAACTCTTACCTTTTTGTTTTAGACACGCTGATATTCTGCTTCAACCTTGTTTTCCAAACCACTGGGAAGTTAATACGGAAGTACTCACATGACCCAGAGGAGGTTGGAAGCCCTTCCCGGCATGCATTGTAACTCATTCATATTATCGATTTCCCGGGACGCGCCGTCATCAGTGCTCTCACAATCAAATTTTCGAATTCCTTAGAAAAAGCTCGAAAATTCCTCAGATTTCCTTAAAATTCCTTAAATTGGTAAAATTACTACAAGGCCTGATCACATAGTTGCAAAAAGTGTTTTTTTTCACCTGATTTACCTGAATTTTTCAGACTGAACGTTTTTTAAAACCGTATTTTTTGAAAATTTGAAGTCTCTAGACCGTCGGAAATGGCATTTTTAGAGTCTTTCCTACCCAATATTTTACTAGTATTGCCTAACAATGAAGATAAGTATTGCTACTTTCAGTTTAGTGGGAAATTGAGAAAATTTTGGAAATTTGGAGTCTCCAGATCGTCAGAAAGGGTATTTTGTAATTGTCCCCTGCCACAACAAGTCTCAACGTCTTTAGTTTGTTTGATTGTTAACTCTAATTCAGATTATAGAGTTCACTTTCTACAGTGAAATCTACTAAAATCTACAGGAAATCTACCTGAAATTGTTCATGAGCAATATTAGGGGTGTTGCACCCTCCCTCCCCCGGTCGCTACGGCCCTGAGAACTTAGAAAATCTGTAGATTTCAAAAGAAACAGCATACACTGACATTTAACTTTTGAGAATTTTAATGGAAAGACAGCCATATGTAGATTTTATACGACATAGAGAACATGCGAATATATGTAATTATGTGCATATAGTGTGTTTCAAGTTTAAATCTCATTTGCGTGGCGTGGTTATTCTCCGTCCAGGATAAAATGTTTCGGAAATTCCTTAAAAAAATCCTCAAAAACCTAAATTCCTTAAAAAAATCCTTAAAACTCTTCAAAATTCCTATTTTTAAGGATAATTCCTTAAAAGTGAGAGCACTGGCCGTCATTGTTCGACTAGCTCTCGTTGTGTTCACTACTCAATTTGCAAGGAGCGGTATTCAAAAGTACAAATTGAAAATTGTAAATCATGGCGAATTTTCGTACTGTTCGTGGCAACAAAGCTACTGATTTGGATGGACGTGACAATCTTTATGTACATTGTGTGTCGAAAGAGCGACTGGAGCTGCTTCGTGAAGGGATGTCGAACTTCTAGTTTTATGGATATTAAACGAGAACATTTGGGCTTTGGCGTAAAAGTTGACTTATTATATGTTCGCCGAATGCGATTGTCCTTCATTGATAGAAATCTATTCTAGTTGTGACCTTAAGGTACGATTATTTTATGATTTAATTGGTGGGAAAATGGGCCATTTATACTCAGAAATCATACGAGACTACAAGGCAAGGGGGGCAGAAGTGAACTTTGTGTTACAGAAATTCTGCCTGCTAAATCTCCAGTTTTGGGCAGTCATGAGGTGTGAACTTGAATGTGACCTGATTAAGTGTGTTTGTGCAGTTTAATATAGTTCCTTGAGTAGACTTTATTTCCAGAACACAGAACAGCTATCGTCAATGGAACATGCACAATCAGGTTTTCATTGGCAAGTCAACACATAATTATAAAGGTGCCCTTGCCTTTTTATTGTTCCAACATCCCTGTATAAATGCATCAAATCTTTTTTACCTGTAGTACTTATGTTGTGTTCTGTTGTGGGAGTTTAACATTATTCCATCACCAACTTCTGTAACAATCTGACCACCCAAGCTGGATATTTTAGAGGATATACTGAATGACCCACCACTGGTGAATTTAGATGAGCCATTGTTATGCAATTGCATTAAACAGCCATTAAATCCTATGTGTCTGGTTAAAATTCATGGTGAAGAGATGCCTGGTGATGTTGAAAGTATTGGTGCAGAAGGTGGAGTTGCAGACATGGACAAGATTGATGAAATTCAGCAGTTGACCCAATTGTTGGGTGTGTAACAGGCTACTGGTGTTGCTAAATACATGAATGATTCAAGCTCTGATTAGGAGAATGATGGAGACAAGGATTCTGAAGGACAAGGATTGTGGAGGAGACACATTGTATCCTGAGAATTAAGACAAGGATTGTGGAGGACACTTTGTATCCTGAGAAGTTTGTTGTAGCTGGTTCCTGGCAAGAACAAAGATACCATGCAACTTGTGATAATCATGTATAGATGATCAAAAAATCTCAAGTTGAAATTTAAAGTAGAACATGAGCAAGACATTTTTAGCTGAGATTTTCATATAAATTTATTCCTATTAAAACACTGTTATTATTTTATTATTCCATTCCTTTTTCAAATAAATAAATGTTTTCCAACTCAATTTGCTGTGTTTGTTTACTGCAGTCATCAAATCCCTACTTTATCTTATAGTCCACCTTGCGCATGTGTTCTTTAACTGTTTTAACTGTTGTATATTTAGCACAGATGGATCACTGATCTAAAGATGGATCCAGTATGATGTGGTAGGGAGGGTGCTCTGCCAGCTCTGGTGCCGAGTTGTGTCAGTCAGGTGCACCACCCACCCACCCATCAACTTACTTGACTACAGCAAAGTCAGCAAAGTCTTGCTTGACTACTGTATTGTAATTGTTGTTAACAAACAGTTTACTTATCATCATGTTATTACTCAAATTACTCATTTTGTCTCTAATATTTTTTGCTTTATCATGAAAATACACCCCCCCCCCCCTGCATACCCTCTGGCCAGGGCTAGGTGGGGGGTGCACACACCCCAGTAAATCCACCCCTGATATTTGGTGGTCATACAAATGCAGTGGTCATACATAATTGATGTTAATAAAATGCTTTATTCAAAGTTACAATATATAAAGTAAATACTTAAGATTCATTGCAACATTTTCATGTCACCAATACACCAATATTTACATGTAAAATGTCTACTAAAATATGTATCTATTAAAAGGCTGGTATGGGGAAATTTATATAACAGGTTGCTCTTATTATTCTGGTTCAATAGTTTCATTGCTTGAATCAGTTGAATGGATCATGAGCACAACTTGGCTGGATTAGATGTTATACCATTTGCCAAAGCAGGATGTAGGAACAGTTTGCTCAATAACAGTTCTAAAACAGCATTAAATTCATAAGTTCAACTTTTCCCATACTTAGGATCAACAATATAAACAACATTGCCATCATCAGATTCCATTTTCACAAAATATATTCGAATTCTATAAAAATAATGGTAAAATACAGTGTATTTAACTTAAATGCAGCAGTTAAACTCAAGAACGATCGACATATATGCCCATGCTTCGAAATAAAACAAAAATAATAACGACTCGTACAGTAATTTTCCTCGCGCCATAATTCGACTATTCCCGCGATGGGCGACATAGTATACTGAAAATGCCCCATTTTCAAACCGCGATTACTCGTCAGTTTGATGGGGACAATTCATTTTTTAAACTTCTCATAGAAAGAACAACTCTTCCTGAATACGATGGCGTGTCTTTTATTTAATTTACTCATTTATAAACCCAATTGTCCCCAGCGGTTTTGAAAGTCACTTTTGACACTTGTGCATTGACCCGGAAAACAGGTCAATACAAATTGCGATTAACATATAACTAAACGTTGTTAAAACACCAAATAAAGCAAAAATCGTTAATTTGACTCATATTTGAAACAATTATAAAAACTTACCTTCAAAAATACGAACTTTTCGTGGCGAAATATCGAAATAAATATCCACAACTTTTCCAACTAACATTGTAAAAAATCATGATTGTGAATATTAATGAGTTGCAATGCATGCTGGGAAGAGCTTCCACCCTCCTCTGGATACAAACCTTAACATGCCTTACAGCCATATTCGGTTGTAAATCTGATTGGTCTATGAGACAAAAGATTTTTTAATCTGTCATTTGATTGGTTGGTGCTAATTAGATATTTATACTATTGTTGATGATATATTTTATAGTGAGCACAACTATAATTAGATTGTTGTCGTTGTGTGAAATTTAAATTTCTCTTGCGACATTTTGATTGGATACTAAATATAAACTTTGCTGTGGGTGGAAAGCTATCACATTAATGTTTGTGTCAGGCTATATTTGTAAAATAGAGCCTGATCTCTGGTTAGTGGCGAGCTAGTCATGGCAACTGGTCATGCTATGCCTATGCTGATAAACATGCATCTATTTGAATGAAGCAAATCATTAAAAACTTGCATAGCATGACCTGTTGCTATGACTATTTTCACCACTGACAGCATTATAATTATACATACAAAAGCAAGAAGTTATAAGCATTGAAGGTATTCATGCAAAACCGCCCATGCCAAAAAATTAGAATTCCTGCCCCCTGAACGCCTTAGGGGCTGTTTACATAATGGAAGGTGGGATGTTTTTGTTGTATTGAAATAAGTCACTGGGCTAAACAAAAGTTTAAATGCTGGTTAACCGAACTCAAATGTTGTAGAGAAGATCTTGTGTTCAAGAAGATTTTTATTGGTGCTTGAAAAAACCTTTCGTTTACAAAATGTTTAGGAATGAACTTTCCCTGAGCCTCATGCTAATAGTATATTTTGTGTTCAATATAAAGACCACAGTAAGACTTTTTTTAAATGTGTTTATTACATTAACAAACGACGTTTCGGAGATTTACTCCATCTTCAGACTTCAGGTAGTTAATAGGATTAAAAACGTCTTACTGTGGTCTATATATTGAACACAAAATATACTTTCGTTTTCAGTTAACTAAAACTATCTCTAGAAAATAATGAAGTTTTTGTTGAATCGTTCACCATGACTTCTTTCAATACATCGAATTCATCCGCCTCGTAGCTTGTCCTGGCAAAGCGGGACCATATAAACAGCCCCTTATTCAGCAAATTGTGCATGCTGCCTTTGATCCCTTGGGGGTGAGGCAGCACTTTCCTTGCGATAGTAACTTCTAGTTTTTAAAATTTGTTATTGTCATTCAA